AAATGAAGGCTAATCATGTTTTGGTTGTACTATTCCTTTAATTCTGGCAGTATCAATCAATCAATCCATTAATCCATCAATCAATCTTTATTGTCAACTAAAATGTGCATTTTAAACAAGATTTCAGTAAATTTATTATCAAGGTAAACCTCAGGAAAAAAATTTCATTATGATGAGGTTAACATGAATTTACAATTATTGTACCTAGATTTTACATAGTGCTTGTCTCCATAGTGTTTTGCATGTGGGCCGTATAAATCAGACTTTAGACATTAGGTTGAATTTATGCCCGATATTTGCAGTGGACAGAAACCAAAAATAAGATGGTAAATGGAGTTAAGAGGATTTACATGGCATGTTCATCATATATCAGTTTAAAGGTAATGGAATTAAAAAAAAAAAAAAAAAAACCTCCAATAGCAGCTAGTTGTTGAAATTTTAAATATGTATCCAACACATCCTGAACATAATATTGCTCCCTTGCAGTTGCAATCCTGACTGTTATGGTTACAGAAAAGCACTTTAAAATGAAGGGCCTTTGCTGTGATTTCTCCAGTCTCTATTAAACCAGAAAGCCTGAGCCTTAGCTTTACCTAGAAATAAGAAAGGAAAGAGATGAGGAAAGAAGTTAAAATACATTTTCCTTCTCTGTATTTATAACAAATAAAAAAAAACATTGGTAATTACATTTCAGAACTTTCCAGACAGTGTAGGAAATAAAGCTAAGAAGAGACAGACAGTAAGAGATATCCTCTTCATCCTGCTCTGAATTATACAATCACATCTGTTCATATTGTTTTCTCTCTCTGAGGAAAGAAAGAAAAATGAAAACACACAAACTTTAAAGCCAAAGACCTTTATTAAGCAATATCTAGTCTTCATGTTATGTTGTTAGTTTTGTTTTCAGTTTTTTCAAACAAGAATGATGGCAGTGTCTATGTACCAATAACAACAGTTTGTTTTTTTTTACTTTGATGAAAAATTATCTTCATCACTACAATCCCCCATGGAGGGTCATAGTAACATCTTCCAGACCTCTGGCCTGCTGTCCCTCCATCTACAGTCATTGGTACAGAGTCAGTCTACCTTGCTGGACTTGAAAAAAGGATGAAACAGATTATTCTGACAACAGAGCCGGTTGTATGTGACCCCTGAAGAACCTGACACAGAAATATCCTGGGGATATATGAGGAGATTGGGGTCATACAAAAAAAAAAAAAATCTGGGCAGAAAAGGGATGTGCGGGGGCAAGCGGAGGGATAGGAGAGGTGAAAGAGAACGTAGAAGGAAAGGTCCTGACAGGTAGGCCTCCTGCGGTTGGATTGAGACCCTGCCCTGCCCTGGCTACTCTTCTCAGAGAGGAAAAACTGAGGCTAATCTTCTTCTGCCAGAGTCAATTTTTCTGTTTGTTCCTGAGCACCGACGGGAAGCTGAGCTGGAAGCAGCCGCCCCTGCTTTTGAAAAGAGCAATTTTAACATTTCCTGCTCTTTTTTTTTTACCCTCTCTCAGGCTGTCGATTTGCTAAAATGCCTGTGGCCCATCAGCTTCTTAGTTCAGGATTATTTTCTTGCATTGTAAAGCTACCTCCCCTTCATCTTGTTTCTGTTTTACTCATTTTTACTTAAACTAAAAAACAATATAGAAGCAATGGTTCAACCCCAACTTATCTCAGTGTGTTGACCTAAATTTGCTGTGTAAACACGCATGACCATGCCATTAGGCCAACATCAAAATTAGCCAGAAACACTGATTAGGCTTAATGGTATACAAGCAAGAAAAAAGCATCTTTTAGACTCTAATTGAAGCTGTTATTACTCTCTGCTGAGCCAAAGCACTGAGCAGATTGATTACTGGTTAATCCTTAGTTTTTTTTAGCCATTAGGAAAGGAGGTTATTAAAGAGGCAGACGTTTAGAGCATTTGTTTCAATAAAAAAAAAAAAAAAAACTTCAGAGATTTCTACTGAAAACCACTTTACCAATAAGGCTTTGCATATTCTAACAAGCTGTTCTTTTTCTTTTATAAGGAGAGAAAGCCTGGATACCAGCCTCTGGAGATAAAGAAAAAAACAAAAGCGGGACATCAAGTGATTTACGGCAGATATAAAATGCACATTACCAGAACATATTACATTACCCCTTTATATTGTTCTTCAGAGACAGTGGTAATGTCTACAGATAAAAAAAAGATTTATTTGGCCCTGTAAGTCAACTTCTACCTTTCGCCATTAGACACGCAAGGCTTTCACTCACTGTTTGAGTCAGTCACAGATTAGATTTAAAAAATAAATAAAAAATTCCTTAAAAGTTCACAGAGAAACGCTCCTGTGCTGAAGCAAATCTGCTCAGCTGGAAATGCCAAAGGATAACAGCTTTGGGTGAGAAAAACAGTGAGAGTTTCTGCAATCTCAATATAATCTGGAGCGTATGGGCTCAGCTTGGAGGGCTTTCAGCAGGCGGCCATTAAGGGGGAGAAATCGAGATGGACTCTGACAGCAGAGGCAGAACAGGATCTAAATGACGGTTTTTATCCACCTCCTATATAACCATTTTTGTCAACTATTCTCAAAGATTATTCCAT